GGGGAGGGTCTGGGAGGAGGGGGCCTGGGCGGAGGTGACCTCAGGGGCCTTTCTCTCAGGCTGGTAGGTAGTAGAACTCTGCCGAGATGTGGTCGTGGTGACGGCAGCCGAGTTGTAAAGCGTGGTTGTCTTAGGCCCAGTTGGAGGCTGTCCATCCGGAGACATGGGGGATGTGGACCTCCAGGAACCAGGCACTCTTGTTGGCAGCTCTGGGGAAGTCCCCAAGGGCTTCTCTGTCTCCTGGTTCCTGCTTTTCCGTGTAGTTTTGGGCTCTGAGACCGCAGAACTGTTAATTCCCCTGGGAGTCAGGCTGGTCCTGGGGTCCCCGATTCGCTTCTCAACGACGCCATTTGGAAGCGGAGTAGTAGTAGCCTTGCGGTCTAGATACTTAATGGCTTCCTGAACCCATTCTGCCTCTGGGTCAGCGCAGAAGAATGCGTGTTTGACGGTCTCGAAGCTACAAGAAAGGGAGACAGGGACCCAGTGATGCCCAGATGCCATGTGGAGTAGGGGCACCACGCAAATGCTCAGCAGGTGAACAGACCCGGCTGGAAATCCTGCCCCCACCACTTACTAGCTGTGAATTGGGAGCTTAGCTGGGGCAACTTAACCTCTGGAATTTCCATGTCCTCACCTTAGAAGTGGAGATAAGATACCTACTTCTATAGGGTGACTAACCCTCCCAGAAAAACTAGAATTGAGGGGGTTCTCAAGATACAGGACTTTTCATGAAAGTGCCAGCAAAGCGAGACAAGTGAGTTGGTCACCCTATACCTTTGTAAAATTAAAAAATTACGTAAAGCACCTGACTCAAAGTAGATCAGTAATGGCTGACAATAATAACGATGTTAATAATATTGTCATTACCATTAAGGCAGGGGCTCTGGGCTGTGAGTCTGACAGATAAGTTACAGGTGTTTTCTGCCACCAGGTGTGTGGCTGGCAAGCTCCACGGTGGGGCCTCCTCACTCTGGAAAGGACCCGATGTCACAATGTCCTCTTACTCCTCTCCTTCAGTTACAGGCTTCCCTCTGGACCTCGACCCTTCTCCCCTAGTGCGTGTCCTCAGATTGAAAGGTCACCCAGTGAGCTACAGCCACACATATGGTGACTTCCTTGGGATGCCGAGTGCCTCCCAAATCTTGAGATTCCTCTGAAGCTGTGTGTGGCTGGTTCACTGCTGAGACCACAGCTCAGAGCTGACTGGGGCCTTTGCTCCGTGCCATGGCCTGTGCTAGGCATTTTGCCTATTTGAACTTCACACCCATCCTGCAAGGTGGCTACCACACTCGTCCCTGTTTTGCAGATGAGAAAACTGAGGCTCAGAAAGGTAATGTAAATGTGTCTGTGTGCTGAGAAATTCAGAAAGCAAGTGTGACCTGCAGGCCCCACAGGCACCAATGTGGCCCCTGGGCTGAGATCCCCTCCCTGGCATTTCCCACTTCCCCTTCACCAAGGAAACAGAAGCAAATATGTGGGGGAGCCTGGGGAAGCAAGCCTGGACAGATGAGCAGCGAGTTCAGGGGGCAGCACACTTGCCCCTTTCGGTAACTTCGCCATCGTGCATTAATGGGAAGTACACGATTGCCTTTAGCTAACAGGCCTATCTTTAAAAGGCTCACTGGCTGTATCCTGCTTGCCAGGCTTCAGGTCTGGCTGCAGCTGCTTTAGTGCCCAAAGGTCAGTCCTGGAGAAAGGCCTCAGGGCTGGGCAATTGGGCAGTATCCAAAAAGGACCCCAAAGGAGCAAGCAGCCAAGATGGCCAGGGATCCCCACAGCCAAGGGCAGAGCTGGCTTGGCTTGACCCCTGCCCAAAGTCTCACAGAGGTCGTGTTTCCTCGTCTGTCAAATGGAGATGATAATCTCTGCCTCTCCTATTGTTGGCAGCTTCCAGGAACCCTGCCAAGCATTTTATTTACATGATCTCTTTTCATCCTCCCAACTGCCCATTTTACAGATAAGGAAACTAAGGCACAGAGGGTGACCAGGGCCACCCAGCCTGTAAGTGGTGGAGCCAGGATTTGCACCACCTCTGCTGGATTCTGGAACCTGCACTTTGAGACCACCGTGCTTTACCTCCCCATGAAACCCAGCAGGTTTGAGTGGTGCATAGAACACACTTTGGTCCAAGAGAAATTACCTCCCTCAGTAGCTGCTCCCAGGCCCCAGGCCATTCAGGAAGCCACACCCCACTTTTGCCAGATATTGAGGTCAGTGAGGGGCCAGCAGGCCAAAAGAGGAGCATTTGCTGAGGCCCTTGGCCAGGAGCCTGGGGTGGGGTTGGGGGGGTGGGGGTGGGGACATGGATTAGCAGAGGCCTGGGACCATCCCCAGGTCTGGACAGGAATGCAGAGGCTGAGAGAGCAGCAGTACCTACATGATGGCGCGTTTGAGGCAAGATTGTTGATTTCGTTCATACTTGATTAGACGACTCAGGGGGATTGCCTTGGAGTGCATCTTGTCGCATTCCATGGAGCATTTATCCGAAGCGCGTTGCAGTCCTGAGTCCACAGAGGCCCCTGGTCAGTAGAACTGTCTATGGGCATCTCACAGCCCCATGCCAGCTTGTCCCGCCACACCACCCAAGCCAGAACCAATGCCCTGCACACCTGACCTTCAAGGCCCTTGACCTCAGCCTCCCCTCCTTCCCTCCTCCCCCGCCCAGTCTCCAGCCAAACCTCTCTATGCCTCAGTTTCCTGCCTGTAAAATAGGGACAATGATAGTATCTACCTCATAGAGTTGTAAGGATTCATGAAAATGAATTCTTACTTATAAAGCTCTTAGTGCCTGGCATGTACTAAGTGTCAATTTTTAAAATTAAGTCGCTGTAGTTGGTCTGTTGCAAACAGCGGAGACAAGTCTGAGAGTGACAGGGGTCACACAGCCAGCAAATGATAGAACAGGCTCTCTTACCAAGCCTCGCTTCTGGGCCTGCGGTGCTGCCTATCCCCTCCCCTCCCCCACATATATACCCCATCCCTCCCTCTCAAGCTGGTCCATATGCATGGAATTGCACGACCTCTGAGACACACCCAGACCTCTCTCCATCCACATCTCATGTGCCCACCTGTGACACGTGCACATGCATACACACAGCAACAAGCAACAAAATCAAAGCCATATATATATATATATATATATATATATATATATATATATATATCACATAAAGGCATACATACAATCAGGCACATATAGCAGATAATAAAAATTTTTTAATGTGTAAGTATAACCAGTTTCTAAAGAAAGCGGTGGGGGAGAGAAGTACTGAGTAGACCATCCTTTTTTCTGCCATTAAGAGCCAGGGTGAGTTTGGGAGGAGTCGCTGAGAAGAATTAACTGAACTGACCATTTGGAGGGCAAGCTGGGGGAGCAGGAGGAAGGAGGAGGGATGGAGATGGGAGGTATGCATGGGTTGGGTCAGAGCAGGGTAGGCAGGGACCCACAGATGGCTGGCTACCACATGGAGCCAGAGAGAAACCCCAGGACAGGATGAGGGTGATTCAACAGATAGTTGAAAACTCAAATATTTTGTATAAATATTTGAAGTTATTTGCATTGCATTTCCACTTACTCCCCTCCCCTAAAATCTCCAGCAAAATTTACTCCGCTTGGTGTAAGCTGGGGAGGGGCATGCAAAAAATGAGGAAGAGGCTGAGCTTCAGTTCTCAGTCAAGGTCATATGCAGCAGAAGCTAGACCCCAGAAGCAAAAATCTAGAGGCCAGTACTTCAGGGCAGTGGAGTCAAGAGAGCAAACTGATCTTATCAAGGTCTGTAGGGCCTGAGAGGCCCCAGCTGATCCCCAGGCGTCACCAAAACATGCATTGCTCATGCACGAATATTCCCATGTATACGGACATGCAAACACGAACTAGTACCTCCCAGGATAGGCAGGGGGCATGGGAGGGGAGCCTCCCAGCAGCTGGTCCCTGAGTCACAGGCTACCTTTCTCTCTTAGGAACCAGGATGTGGAAGTCCCCCTCCTTCTCCCAGAGCAGGACCTGGGAATGACTCATACGCAGCCTCCCCAGGCCCCATGGAGTAGCGCCTGGAAGCAGTCCCTTGGACTGGTCTGGCAGGTGTCTTCCTGAGGCTCCAGAGCAACGGTGCCCCTGGTGACCTGGAGCCAGGAGGAGGCTACCCAGTGGGCAGGAGGAATAAGCTAGGTAAAGTCACTTTGCTCTCCGGACTCTGCTTCCAGCATGGGCAAGGCCACTGCCCACCTCTGGGGCTTTAAAGAGCCACAAAGTCAGCCTGCCTTAAAGTCCCCACCCTCTACCAATGTGCCTGAATGTCCTTGACCAGACGAACTCTGTTCTTGGTCCTGCCTGGGGAAGGTTGTATAACTAACCTTGGGAAGCTTTTCTTCTTGAAAACTGAAGCTTTCTTTCCTATAATTGGAGACAAAGCCTCCATCCAGCTTAGTCATTTATTATTAATCACATATGAGTTTCAGGAGGGCAGGGACCTCATCCATTCATCCATCCATCCATCCATCCATCCATCCATCCATCCATCCATCCATCCATCCATGTATTCATCCATATCCTGATTCAGTCAATACTTGTTTGAATTACTTTTGAGTATCTACAAAGACCCAGGCCCTCTTGTCCTTAACGCTGAACTCTCTCTCCCACAGGTGCTGGTGCTGAGCTTGGAGAGAGCACCTCAGTTCCAATCAATGCTATCAAATTACTCAATCAGCCAACAAATGCTGACCCTCTGTCTTGCCAGGCCCTGTGTGGCATAGTGAGATGAACAAGACCTGTCTCTGCCCTCAGAAGGCTCCCAGCTTGATGGGCAGCTAAGACACCCCAACAAAGTATCAGAGCTTTTCTTAGTTGAGCACCTACTATGTATTGGAGCCTGTGCTCATCACAAGTGCATCTGCTCTCATTTATTCCCAACATCCCTGCAAAGGGAGTATTGTTATCCCCATTTTACAGATGCAGAAGCTGAGGATCAAAGAGGTTAAATGACTTACCCAAGGCCACACAGCTGCTCAGTGGCTGCTCTGGTTTTCCTCCCAGCCCCTATCCATCCCACTTTCCTAGGCTGCCTTAAACACCAGGTAGAAACACCGTGTTCCAGAGCATAACCCAAATGGGCTGGGGTTTACATGAGGGAGAGACCACTTCCAACTGCAAGTGATCAAGGGAGGCTTCTTGGAGGGGGTACCCTTTAGGCTGGACCTCAAGGACGAGGCTTACAGTTAGGAAGAGAGGCATGTTCTGGGTCTCTGGGTGAGGTGATAGAGAAAGGGCTTAATGCAATGCTAGCTGTGTGTCCTGGATGAGTCACTTGAGCTTTCTAAGCCTCGATTCCCTTCCCTTTGAAATGGACACGATAATGCCTGCCTTACAAGGTGGTTGTGAGAATCAAGATTTTTATTATTTATTTATTTATTTATTAAAAGATTTTATTGGGGAATCGGGGGAAGGGGAACAGACAAGTTGCTGTTGGTTTGTTTTTCAGTCTAGTTGTGGAGGATGTTGCTTCACTGGCCCAAGTTGGCACCATCATTTGCACTCTTCCCGGGTGAGGCAGATCAGTTGCTGGCTTCTGGACGGCCACTCACAGCGGCTGCTGGCTGCTCACGCTGGTTGCCGGCTACACACAATAGCTTATGGCAACCCACTACAGCAGGGGACTGCAGCCCACGCCGTC